GCCATTTACCTGTTATTCAGCTATAATTAGCACTTATATAGCACTTTTCGAATCAGTACGGGGCAAGCAAAATGCTTGACTGGGAACCCATTCGAGGAGTTCTCATCGATAGTGAACATTCCTCTTCTTTCCTGCACATCCTTGTGTATCTATTTTTATCTTCTCTCCGTGATGCACTGTCAATTCTCGGATGGATCTTCAAGTACACCTCTAACTTGTCAGTGCTTCCCAGAAATAGCCCGTTGGATTCCTCAGCGGTACTCAGAACCAAGGCCTCTTGGAGAAGCCATTGTGGTACTCTGATTGAGGGTGTCTAGTAGAGAACACATCAACTGGCCTCTTCAAGTCGTTACATAGATCAGATAGGTGGTCAAGTATTATAACTGGTTCTGGACGGAAGTTTAATCTAAAGCGATTATAAAGGATTGCCCATTACATTTGTTTTTTTTAATTCATCTACATTTTTGTAATGTCGTGTCTATTCCAGACGACTATGTTGAACTATTTGCGAACGCCAGAAACTCGAACCAGCCAAATCGCACCGACAGTTGGATATTCCGTCACCAATTTCACTACAGAGAGTTTCAGTTTTACAGCTTTCGATATGGCTGGACAAGGTGAGCGTGTATGTACCGAAATCCCTCGCATGTGCACCCTTCATGTTTAGATGATCGAGTTGCAAGGAAGTTACGAGCACGAACTTCAAACCCTCGTATTCAAGCCATAGAAATAGCGGAAATGCTTACATTGTCTGGGTGGGATCGAGCATAAGGCTTCATTGACGAGCCTTCTCACCCGAGACAAGCGGTGTGAGCGAGTGCTTAGTGAGTGCACCCGTTCACTCCGTATGACTTGGGTCAAAAGGCTCATTGATGAAGTCCTTTGCTCGATCCCATCCAAGAATTTGAACGTATGCCCAGTAGCTGACGGGATTTCTTCGCTAGAAAATCATCCACCGAACGACTGACTTGCTGTAAAGTGCCAAAAAAATCAAAAGTGTTTATTCCACCACAGTTATCCTCATTCGCCCAACTGTCCTAGTAGAATGATACGAGATAGGTGCTATTCCCAGGAATTGAAAGGACTACTCTTTGGCTTAAACGGGAATGGAAAAACAAAACTAAATAGCGAAAATAAGAATATAACAAAATACTTAAGTTTTCAGGGAATTAATTGAATATGACTAGAAATTAGAAGAGGCCTTATACCACCTTACCCGGTCTAACTTTTCACCATTCTAAAGATGCAACATGAGTAAATTTAACTTCAGCGATACTGTCTAGGAAAGGAATGCTCAAGGAACGGTTCGTAGATTACGATTCCAAACATCTGAACCGCTTGAAGTTTTATATGACAAGGTGATGGAAGTTTTTTGATCCATTCCCTTGTCCCTCTTATTTTGCACCGATATTCTATGTCTGTCCCGATACCTTTACCGAAAATTCCCAAGCATTCGCCGCCAGTGGATCCGCCTGCCGGCCTTGCATGGTCATAAAACTGTACCTCAGTGGTGACCATAAACTTTTCGCCGCGGGAACTACAACTGTAGTCGTAGTGCCTTTGGATGTTGGTAAATCATTAGCANTGTTGCTTGCTATTGGAAATAATCGATCGACATCACTCATATTCAGGAAAATACCGTAACCTCTGGGAGACGTACTATCTGAATGCGCAAGCAGTGATTTTTGTAGTGGATAGTGCTGATCGGTTGCGAGTTGCAGTGGCACGAGATGAACTATGGATGATTCTCGATCACAAGGATATCAGTGGGCGACCAGTGAGTCCGAATTGATAGTCTGATGAGCCAGATGTTCTAAAAGGTAAAGTTCAGATCCCTATCCTGGTACTCGCCAATAAAATGGACGCTAAAGACGCAATGGCTGCAGCAGAGATGTCGACCAGCCTGGGTTAGTTTTCACTTTGCTCATACCAAGACTTTTCCAGGCTCTACATAGGACATTACAGCAATGCAGTGAGCGCGTTTTAGGATATTAGGGATTCCATTTGGGATCGCCTTTGAAATTTGTCAGAATTGTAGGTTCGTAATGCTTGGCTATGTAGCTTGTTTATCGCATGCTACTCTATCAGGGATGGGGTTTGTTCCAGTGAAGCTCAGGTGGACAAAATATTCCACGGCCAATTATTCACCAACTAATTCAGGGCTCTAATTTCTAGGCTTTGCCCAGGACATACCAAACGCAATGGCGTTTCCATTCAGCAATTTTGAATCCCTTACCGCGGTGATTGTTCATGTTCTAATGGATCACAATTTACAGAGAAATTAGAGCTCGTTTTGGGACAAACCAATGGAACCTTAACGCTTAACAACAATTATAAGCTGAGGCTTCTAGGAAATTGTAATCAACGGTATGAATTCAGAAACAGGTGTAACATAGACATGAAGTCTCCCTATATGTGTAGTACAATCACCTGCAAACTCCTTGGTATGCGATTTTCCCCAGTGTATGTATTGACTTGTTACTGCGCATGTGCTACCCAAACATCTGAAAAATTTCCAAATTATAGGTCTTGATCTGATCAGAGGCCACAAATGGAACATTCAAGCTACATGCGCTCTGAATGGAGCGGGAGTTCAACGGGCGATCGAATGGCTGACGAAAGAAATCAAGGCATATTTGGAGTCGATGAAATGAATTTACGGGAATAAAGAAATTGATATTACTACAATTCACTGCAGAAGAACTGAAGGGACATTGAAACGAGAGCTTCTACAGCCGGTTAGGATTAGGCCATGAGTCTTTGCTTCTGCAGC